GATTGAATCAAAAAGCAACATTCATGCTTGTTATTACACAGATGTATATTATGTACTTGACGATGTACTCCTCTAGTTTCCTGTACAAATACAGCATCCTTATACAAATCTTTCCCTCCCTAATCACATAAAGGGCTCTTCATTACATGCTTTACTGTCGGTTCTATTACATCTCAATACAAAAATGGTGGACGGTATGACATTAATAAAGAGCAACACAACAAAGTGTACAAACTGTGACCCAGAAATTAGTTTATCCTGTCTGGAGATTAGAGTCCGTCCAGTCAAAGCATAAACACTTACAGTGCCCATTCTGTCCTTAACACTGCCCCAGCAGCCATACAATATACCAATGGCCTTTATACTGTGTTGATTATTTGATTATTCTTAAAATAACTGTTATCAATTAAAGCTTCTTTGTAAAGGGCCAGCATGTGTGTACATTCAGTAAAAGGTTAGTTTGTATAAGGGATCACACCAGTTTACTTTTTATACAAATTACAAATATACATTGGGACAATCAATTCAAACACTGCAACAGTAGATGCATATAAGCAATGCTTTACATGTATATTGTGATTGAAGTCTGATTATATACTTGCATGTAATATCTATTTCAATTCACATATATAGGCTATCTTAAATGTTTATCAAAGGAATCGCTGTACTACAGTTTCAGTGTGTTTCTATACATGCAATATATATGTGTATATATGTGTGTGTTTGTGATTGAAAGCTACTACACATTACTTCTAGACTGCTAGATAATGTTTGGTATTATGTGTATCATTTGTATCAATGTAATCCAATAAGCTTTAGACATTAACTGATTTATAATACACAGTTACACACATGTCACAGTAATGACAATAATAACAAGTACCAGTGCTCCAGTGGTATTTACTATCATTCATTTACTATCACTCATTAGTCTATGACTTGAATAGGAACACTGTCTGATTTAATAATGATACAATGATAATACTAAAAATGACATTATGGAACTCTACATACCACTATCAAGATTAATAACACACCAACTATTGACTGGTTCAAAAATAACACCCACTTATGTACACTAAAATATAATACATCAAGCTATACTACAGTAATGAAGAGTTACTGGTAATGTTCCTTAAACAACTGGTAGAGCCCTCAGCTCATACTTACCATCATATCCAGGGTTTTCAACTGAGCCGGATACCTCAATACCGGTCTTGCTTCTACAGAGACAGCATATGCATATTATTAGTGAGAGTATGATGACCAGTAATAGTAAGATCACTATTACACCAAGAACTGCAACAACTTGAATTGAGAGATCTTCAAATATACCCCCACCACCATTTCCACTTCCACTGCCATCAGTTGGTGAGGAGGAAGGAGTAGCTGAAGATGTTACTGAAGGAGAAGGAGAGGGAGAGAGAGAAAGAGTGAGGGAGGGAGGAGAGTAAGGAGAGGAGGGATGAGTTGCAAGTGATATTGAGGAGGAAGGAGGAGGAGGAGGAGTAGCAAATGAAGACAAATCAAAAGAGAGAAGAAGAGATGAGGTTGTGAGTGTAGAGGATGAAGTAGTAGACATTAAAAGAGAAGGGAAGACTAATAAATATGATGATCAATATAAGTGTTGCAAGTAATATACTAGTACCTGATGGTGATGATGATAATGATGGTGATTGAATGAGTGTAGAGGACATTGTGGGACATAATGATACTTCAGTTTCATTACAATATTGAGAATTGGATCTTAGTAACTGTACTGTAGTCTCTTGATTTGATAGAAAATTGTCAACAGTAACATTTCCTATAGAATAATTAATAACTATAAAACACATAATGTACACTTACTGAATATCCAACCAATTAATGGTCTTACTCCTCTCATCACTTTAGCATCACATAAAGAAAGATTAACATTACACAATCGTCCTGTTAGATTCTCCCAATAATAAATATCAATATCTTCTGCTGTGTTGTCATGTATTAGACTTAACTTATTAACTGCATTTGAATCAATGTATACTCCTACTATATAGCCTGGACGTACTGGAAGAAGTACTTGTGAACCAGTTCCTAAAACCTTAAGCTCTATTCTACTGCCAGTAGCTGATTCACCACCTTCTCCATACGTATTACCATATATAAGACTGTAGACATTACTCTTAACAGGATCTGGTTTTAATACTTGAAACTCAATTCCACTCCCAACAGTAACTGATGTATTACCAATGACATGAGCAAACCAATTATCAATAACTCCTTGACAAGAGAAGGTCCATGAAGGAATGAGTAATTGTACTCCACCAGTGAATGATCCACTACCATTATTACTTGGAGAAGGAAGGGAACGAGAGCAGACATTAGCCACAGCACCAAAAGGGCCTGAAACAAACACAATAAAAGAATTAATAACACCAGTCGGGACATTATTATGACTTACCGTTCCCTAGCAGAAAGAATAGATAGAACCACAGAGCAGGGCTAGTCCTCATGATAGACACAATCAACTGAGACCTGGACTACCAGTAGGAGCTTGAAATCAGTAGCCACGGGAGCCCACAGGAACTCATACATTAATGACAACAAACAAAATTACATTTTATTTATTTAGTAGTGCACTGCACCTCCTCCTATTAATAATCCTACTCCACCTCCTCCTATAAAAGTGTAAACTGTGATATGATATATACAACAATTAATATAATAATAATCATTAATAATAATAATATAAATACACATAAATCTATCATAGAAACCCAGTAATGATTAGAAGGAGAGAAAAGAGAGAGAGAGAGAGAGAGAGAGAGAGAGGGAGAGA